CTTGGGTTGTTACCAACATCTGGTGAAAATTTCATGTCATTAGCACCTCTAGTAATATATTTACTGAGAAAAATGGTGACGCGTTCAATACTTATTTTACCCGCTGTATATCAAAAGTAAATTTGACTTTGCTTCATAGCCTAAACGCCTTAAAATTGGCCTCTGTCTCTTTAAGAACCTCCTACCATTTCYAACACTCCCAYTTCAGCACGTCTTCACAACAATGTTTCAGATGAGGGGTGCTCTGTGGGGCGGGAGCTCGGCTGCAGACTGAGTTTCAGGGAGGAGCTAGGTTCAAATAGGCGGAGCTTTATACCAGCAAGTGTTTAACCAGCTCCACATGRCTACCAGAGGAGATTCAATGGTTTCTCAAACAGGCATGAATTAATGTGAAATTACATTATAAAGCTTWAAAAAGTTGATWTAACATAATACCCCCATTTTAAAATTCATCACACAATATGCTGTCAAACTTACAGTAATCTTAATAAATTATTAGCCAGAAACCCTTTAAAAGATTACAAGAAATTCAGATGTTTTGGGGAAGAAAACAGTCATTTAAACATCTTAACACAACTAAATCACCGTTAAAGCCCACTGCACTCACTACTCTGAGATTTAATCTTTCCATATCAGTGATGTAATACTGTTGATTCATTGATGTTCTGGGACTCTGTAAATGGAAAAAAAATTAAGTAGAGTGGCTRTTATTTATCTTGGATTTACTCTGGRATTTTCATTGTGTTTGATTCTTAATCGATAACAATCAGTGCTGAGTGTGTGATGTGTTGTGGATTGAGGAGATCAGAGGTCAGATGACTTCACACAGCTACTCCCTTTGTGATAACATCGAGCAGACTGAGGTCACTGTGTGTGCACAATGCGACGGGATGAACACCTGCAAGTTTTGGACCTGTCGTCAACTCTAAGTGAATTCTCTGGAGTTAAATAAAAAGTCTTACCCGATTCGACTCTTATTTCTGTTTCTCTTCAGATACTGAGCCACCAAGACTCCAGTGTCCCTTGGACATCGTTGCGCAGACAGATGAGCGACGTGGCACTGCTCACATCAGCTGGAAAGTCCCAAATGCTACAGACAACTCCAAAGAGGTTGAAATCTCAAGAAAATCAGCAACTTGTGGACTTTTATTATACTGTTTTATGGGAATATTTAAAACTTCTTTTGAAAAAACTCTATAAAATGTAAATGACTCTCTCCTTCAGGTGGTACTGCAGGTGAAACCAGTCTACAGTCCTCCTCAGCTGCTCCCWATTGGAAAGGAAACCATCAACTATATTGCGACTGACCGCTCTGGAAACTCGGCGAACTGCTCCTTTACTGTCACCGTGATTGGTGAGCTTGACCCTCTGAACTCTGAATCAAAGCAAACATAATGTGTGTGGATTGTTGTTAATCTCAAATGTTCCAGTTCACTTAAAACATATMGTTTGATTCACATTATGGGTTTTTACACAAAGATCCATAGCTTTTTCTTTGCTTTTGTTTTTATTTCCTGCTGCCCATGTCTGTGGGTGTGCTCATTTGTTTTTATGAAATATCTCATGAAAATATATCTACAACTGATTAACTTTTACAGTCACCCTGATTCAAGACAGCTGTTAGAGCTCAGCCAATTTTACAATAATGTATTTTCCAGGCACATAGTTCAGTTCAACACCACAATCAAGTAACTTTGTTACCTTCAGTTGTTATGAAAATGCTATATATATATATATCAAAAACAAATTAGAATTTACATAATAGTCTACCAAAACACCTTGTAGTCTCTGTTTTTTCTAACCGTTTCAGACACTCCCACTTCAGCACGTCGTCACAACAATGCTTCAGGGGAGGGGTGCTCTTTGGGGGCGGGAGCTCGGCTGCAGACTGAGCTCCAGGGAGGAGCTGTGTGTAATCAGACGAAAATTTAAAAAAAATTTAGTTTTCTGTATTTGTAAGACTGTGAATATTGGGCCTCATGCAAGAACATTTTCATATTCTTATCCTTCGTTCGACGGGTTCGTACGAACATGCCACGTCAGATTCAACAAACTCTTCTATCTTCAGGAAAAGTGTGTAAATGAGCTGCGTAAACTGATGAATGTRTATCAGCTGCTCATGCACGGGGAGAGGTGATTAGCATAATCTACCACCCCAAAAACACCATAAGGCTACGTTTCCTGCTCCACRTACCAGGAAGTGTCCATTCATAAATGACATCGCAAAGTAAAAAAGAAGAACTTTACGAGTTCAGAGACTGAAGTCCTGCCCTCGTAGATCCAGAAAAAAAGTCATTTTTTAGCAGTGTCAGACCTGCTGAAACCGAGGAATGAAATAACTGCTGCTGTTAATGTCGTGTCTTCTGTGGGTCGTGTACAGTCACAGAAATAAAAATCTAAATCATCTCTCCCTAGTCCTGCTCTGCGTTTCCTTTGGTCAAATATTTTTAATTTAAGTGTAAATAACGATAGCCAATTYAACCAACTTTTGTCGTTAGTCTTCAGTATTACGTTTAACATTATAATTCCAGTTCAAACAGAACAGCCTATTGTCAACATAATTATGGAGTGTGATTTATTTTCAACTCAAAATATCTTCAAACTAATAAAATGTAAAGTTATTAGTGAAGAAAATTCGTCTGGATAACAGCAGACTGACTGCTCGTAAAATATACGACAGGTCTGAACCACACATGAATTTTGTTCGTTTCTGAAGAAAATCTTATGAGAAAATCTTATGAGAAAATCGTTGAATGCCATAAGTTCTCCTAAATCACTCATACGCACAACTTAAGAACAAATCTGTTCAGACGAACAGTTCTTACATGAGGCCCATTGATTCTAATTTAAGTGAACTAGAGGCCACTGAACTATCTTTTGGCTAGTATTGTAGATTTGTTTGTTTATGACTAAAATCTTCCAGTATGAACCTAAACACCAGTGAGACAATATCAAAGTCAGACAATGACGATTCAAAGATCCGACAATAGACAAAGGAAATCTGGGACTATAGACACTGAGAGGGAAATACCTGATCACAGGGAGCGGATGAGACAATGAAGCAGGACAGCAAAACTGCTAAAAAAAAGACTACAAATTAAAACAGGAAGTAAATTAGACAAAACAGAGCTGCATCACAAGAAACTCAAAAACATTTAMAAACGTAGTATTAGAATACTACAAACCATGACCATACTTTGATTTTTGTCAAAGTAAAAATTTTTCCTGAATATTTTCAAAAATACATGAGACTGTTTGCCTGAGCAGGTGCCAGATATTGTTGTTGCAGGGAGTGAAGAATGAGGGTGTCTCRTGTCAGCCGCTCAGTAATCACTGCAGTCGGGGGAGAAACCCCAAGTCTGGTAGCTGTGAACATTTCCATGTGTTATTATGGCAGTGGAACCTTGTGGGTTTTTTATTAGAGCCATGTGTTTAACTTGTGCCCCCTGACTTTTGAAAGAGTCTGATCACAGTTCAGCACTCTGCTTGTAATTCTCCGCTCCAGTGTATGTCTAATTCTATTTTCCTGAAACTAAATTCAGTCTTGCTAATGTGCTGCTATGTTTGCAGTTTTTCTAACTAATCATCAATTATATATATWTTTTTCTCTTTCTGTTTGCAGATACGGAGCCCCCTTTCATTGACAGGTGCAGGTCACCCCCGACAGCCCAGGCCACAAACACAGAGACAGTCGTCACGTGGGAAGTGCCACAGTTCTCCGACAACTCACGTATGTCCGGTTAAATCCTCTAGAGATGCTTTTTTCTTCTTCTGCAGCTCGTTTCTACTGCACTTCAGCCTCTGTCTCCACTGATTAGGGTCAAACAGGATCTTTTCCAATGGGTGATTGGAAAAATGGGATCAGGAGCAATCTGTCTGTGTGTGGATGGAGGGAGACACTGGATACAGTATTTCTCTGTGTCTGTGTTTTAGGAGGAAGACGGAAAGAGAATAGGACCAGAGGATAGATGAAGTGGTTATAGTGCCTGCTAATGTCATTAATGTTAAAACAGAYGGAGGTAGTGGAGAAACACAGGTGTTATTGCCATGAAAAATGTTCTTATGGTGGGAATGCGCTCTCATTCTATCCACGGTTCTGTTATTATGTGAGCACACGTTTGTGCTTGATTTGACTGCTTCTGCCATGCKTCTCAAATCATTTCTGAAATTGTTGTGAATCTGCTTTGCCTTTGATCATTGTTCTGGTGAAGCCTTTTGGAAATACTAGTTTAGAGAGTTTGGATTGTTGGCAATGTGTTTTTTAGATCCTACAGAGAAGCTGMAGCCCAAATCTGACAATGTACATTTGAACAAGGGTTGCATAAGATGTCATCACGTTATTATTGTGCTTTAKTATTGCTTGGACTGCATTCTTATCACTGCCTTTGATACAGACACCTGGTTTAGATGATAGTGGCTGAGATGCTGAAGCACACAGTGAGTTTTGTGAGCATCATGATGACAGAACAGAATAAAAGGATTGGAAAATGTAGGTTTATCTCAACACCATCACGATATTTAACAGATTACAATCACAGACTTTGTGTTATTCTACAGCTATAATTAAAACATAAAACTGTGAGTGAATTTTAACTAATGTTGGTTCAGCCTCAACACTTTAGACCTGAACGAGAATCCCATCACCCAAGATGGCTCCTTGGTTTCAGATGTACAGGGTGAGTCAAAAGTCTCAGGACAGGTTTTTATTTTAGAAAGGAAAGGGCACAATGAAATATCTGAATACCTGAACAAGTAATGGGTGAGGGGACCTATATTTTAGGCTATGTCTTCAACATTACCGCCATCTTGATCTGCTAATGTTTTGTGATGTTGGTGATTGTTGACTTTTGGTATTACTTGACTTCAGCTCTGCATTTGATACTGTAGATCATCATATCTTAATCAATAGGTTAAGTAACTGGGTGGGTTTATCTGGCTCAGTATTACAGTGGGTCACTTACTTAACTGAATGAAGTTTCACAGTGACGATTGGAAACTTGTCTCTGATTCTTCTTCCGTAACTTGTGGTGTTCCACAAGGATCGGTCCTAGAGCCTTTGTTGTTCTGCTTATACATGCTACCCTTGKGTCAGATCATTGAGAATTTTAACATTCCTTTTATTTTTTGAGAGTTTTAACATTCCTTATCATTTATTTGCTGATGACATTCAACTCCATTTTTCACTCAACGTTAATGAAATTCATTCTCTATATAGGTTCACAGCTTGTCAGGATGCTATAACAGACTGGATGGCTGATAACTCTTTATACTTAAATGCTGACAAGACTGAGGAGGTGATTGTTGCTCTTTTAATTAGGCAAACTCTTGGGCAACTCTCCTCTGCTGTCCACTTAAATGTTAGAAATTTAGGTGTTCTGTTTGGCCAGTCTTTATTGTTTGATGCACATAAAACAGCTGACAAGATACTTTTTTCATTTAAGAAAGTTGCTATACAAATAAAKTTACTTACTTATTACATCTTGAATGCCACCATATTGGATTAAGGCCATTTTCCCCAAGATAGGGCCCCCTCACCCATTACTTGCTGAGATATTCAGATGTCATTTTCCCTTTTATGTTTGAAATAAAAGGGTGTCCTGTAGGTGGGTAACAATATGTCTATCTACTGTATATACATTGATTAGATGATGAGGATTGAATTACATCGATGCAAAACAAAAACATTCATGCATATCGTCATCATTTGCCCATTTAACAATGTTAGATGACAGACTTTGTGAAATTGAGAAATATTGTATCGTCATCCAAATAAATTAATATATCATGACAAAGCTGCTGATTTACACCCCCAGTGTTCTGTGAATTTTGACTCAGTCTGTATAAACATTGATCCAAATGATGTCTATTTCTTCACCCCAACAAAAGAAGAGAAAAACATTTGTACCAAAATACACTGACCTACATGTGAACTATATGAGCTCAAGACATGTGCAGTATGTTACAGTGGAATTAAACAGAGTTAATTTTTCAAACGAATCAGTTTCACCAAGACCATGTAAAGGGTACACAATCCATACAAGACCTTGCAAAGCAAGATAATCGTGTACTAGTTTTTACAAGGTGTTTTTTTACACTTTAAAATAATGTTTTTTTAAACTAAATAACCGTTGTCCCTGAATATAGCTGCAGGTGTTTCTTTTACTTGCACATAATATTTGTTGCTCTTGATTTGTTCCAAAGCCAGGTCCCGCAGCCTCAGCCACGTTTTTCCATTCAGTCATGTTTGTTTATTTTGCAGTTGCAATATTCATAATACCAAATAAAACACAGAACTTTGTCTCTACCGTTTTAACAAATGTCTCAGCTTCACGTTTGGCCAGACTATGCTTCATCCTTCTTCTGTTTTTATTGTCACGTCTAAAGACTTGAAGCATAAACAACGGTTTTATGTGGATATGAAATACTTAAAGGATTATCCACATTCCCAAAATGAACACGCACGGACGTAAGTTTGTTTACTTTTTCGGCTGCTTCTTTCTGCAGGGGTCACCACAGTGAGCTAATGTGCACAGTCGATTTTACACCAGATGCCCTTTCTGTTGTAACGTGGGCTTGAACTCACAGAAACCGTGGCACTGACCACCGAACTACCAAGACCCCGAGCATAGATTTATATATTTTCTCTAAAGTTAATATTTTTGTACTTCCCTGCCAGTTTTAGTCATATATCTGAACTTTTTTATTACCTCTAAAGCTTGAGGGGTTTTTTTCAGCTTCATCTCTAAAAAAAATAAAACCCAATAATTAACCAGTCTGACTCGTTTTTTGCTCTTTGAACTGACTGAAACAGATATGGTCTTGAAAAGCAGTTTAAGAGATCACAAAGCTGTGTTGAGYACCTCATTAAAATGACTTAATAAACAAGCATTAAAGACAAATCTTCTAATAGAGGAGCACTTAAAGGTCAATTTACCTCACAGACTAAATATTCTCCCCTTGGATGGCTTCTTCTTGGCCCTCCAGCTGTTCCAAAACAGCCAAAGTGCTGACGGACAACAAACCTGTGTTCTTCAGGCGTTGCAGTTCAAAGTGGGTCTCGTGTAATCCACCAACTCTAACAACTCTGTTTGTACGAGTGAACAAACCCCGCCAGCCCCAAACCTCACATCTCACTCACTAACGAGTCAAACTGATCACTCCCCACCTGTCTGCGGAGGTCCCCCCTCAATAACACACACACCCATACATCCACTGTAATAACAGGCTGCTGCGGCAGCACCGGGTCCACACGACGTCAGCCYAGCGCTGTTTCGACGTCAGTGTTTTGTTTTTCCAGGCCCACACCCTGATGCCAACTCTATATATAGTCCTGACTCGTTAGGCACGCACACACACAAACACACACACTCAGAATAAATATAAAGGGAGACTCCAGACGGCCAGACGTGTGTCAGACTTCTTGGAACGATGTTGCTACTGTTAATGGAGGAGGTGGACTGGAGTTAAACAATAATCACTCATTCTTCCCTCCTTTTAGTAAATTCTGTCTCTCTCACATTTTACAGATGTTCTCATTGTTCCACAGCCTGTGTGTCACGCTGCACACAAGTTGAAGCGCATCACACACACACACACAACTATGTTGCAGCTGTTTCCATCACTTTGTATTCATTACATCTACACAAGTCATCCAGATAGAATTTATATTGTTCTTTAAACTAACAGCTATGATTTACTATTTTAAGTCCTGAAATATGAACCAAAGCCAACACCGCCCCCTGCAGGAGTTAACAATTTTSATGCAAAATATTAAAAGATTTTAAGGAAAAAAAAACAACAAATGCTATTTACTAACAAAGTTTGTATATTTGTAAAAACTTTACGATTTTATTTGGACATATTGTTTTACCTGTTGACTTTTTTTAATATCAGTAAGGCTGCATCGCATGAAGAAAATAAAGATATCTAGTATTCATTGTACTCTGTTATATTGTTAAAATAGTTATAGTTTGCACTCAGATTACACTGAACAATTACAGCCATCTAAAAATATGTCAGTGTCAACTTTATTTATAAAGCACTTWAAAAACAGCAATCAACTGCACCAAAGTGCTGTACAGCWTTCATAAAACTGATAAAAACACATYGAAGTAAAACCATAAATTAAACAGACATAACACATAGAATACAATGYAAACCATTATAAAAATGCCAGAAAATAGAAAAGAGTTTTCAGAAGAGATTTGAAGTGTTCCAGACTATGGGCAGATCTAATATTGAATGGTAAKTTGTTCCACAACTTAGGAGCAGTGGCAGCAAATGCCCGGTCTCCTCTGCTATCTAAAAATAAGTTAAAAAAATGCTAAATTATASTCTGAATCTTCTCAATTTAAGTGAAATAATCTCCCAGTGCAGAAAGACAGMCATTTATTGAAATAAGGAACCTTTCCAGGCTGACAAGATTAATAATCTAACATACTCTGCTCTTGCCCAGTGTGTCAGTCTTAAAACAAGATCAAAAATATTTTTAGACTGGAGATAAGATTGCAAGTCTTATTTAGCTGGACAATTTTTGTTATTATTATTTTTTTTCCAATGTTGAACACCTACTGTATGTAGTTCATGTGTCTTTCTATTTGTTTTAGGTGGTCGCCTCACAGTAAACAGCAGCCACAGTCCAGGCTCGCTGTTCCCCGTAGGAGACACTCTGGTGCAGTACACTGCAACTGATGCTGCAGGAAACAGCCGAACCTGTAACCTCACTGTAACTGTGCAAGGTATCATACAGGCACATCATATCATAAAGACCTAAAGCTTGTGCATTATTTTTGCTAAGTGTCTWTAGGGTAATTTATTTCTGTGTAAAATGTTAGTGGTATGCTGTATTTTGTGCAGGGACGACCTGTGACCAGCCGTATGTTCCTGTAAATGGAGAGTTTGTTTGCTCTGAAGAGGACGAAGGTGTTAACTGCACCCTGCAGTGTAAAGACGGTTACAGCTTAGCTCAGGATGCCGTGCACAGCTACTTCTGCGCCCACAACGGCATGTGGGAGCCTCCGTCCTCCTCAGACAGACCTGACTGCTCTTGTGAGTGCAGCTTGTGATAATCTATTAGCAGGTTTTATAAATATGTTTCTGACGGGTTGTAAAAAATTCACTTATAAAGTAAAAGCCTTTTCTGTTCTATTTACTGTTTACCAGTGAACCGTATAGCAAACAATGGATATAAGCCTTTTGAAATGCTGTTCAAAGCCTCTCGATGTGATGATGCAGACCTGGTCAAGTCATTTGCAGGGCATTTTAATGCTAAACTAGGAGGCATGGTAAGGACCTGTCGACAAATACACTCTGATTAACTCAAATACATAAAACAGCTGTTAATTATTTGATTCTCCACAGCTCCCTGGCATTTGTAGCAGCGATGAAATCACCTGCAAGCTAGAGGTGATGTCACAGGGTCACTGTCTGGAGTACAATTACGACTATGAAAATGGATTTTCAATCGGTACGACTACTAATATGTAAAACATTCAACCTGTAGTTTGGGTTGAGCTTTTTATCAGCTCATCATTCTTCCCTCTTGTTGCCATTCGAACAGCTCCAGGTGGGTGGGGAAACAGCTGGGACTCTCAGGGCTCGCAGGACTACGCTTACTTCGAGTCGGGCTTCGCCACAGGCAGCCGGCAGCAGCAGGACGGCAGCAGGAAACCTCATCCCCGAACAAAAAGGAGCAGGAAGATAACAGGCCCCACAAGAGACCATAAGATCCAGATTTATTTCAACATCACAGGTAGAAAGAAAATGCTTCTGCTGGTAAACATTACAGGATGTTTTATGTTTTTTGGTACCACTTTAAAATAAGGCTCCCCGTATAAATGACTTATAAAGAGTTTATAGATAGGTTATTAATTCATCTGTAAACACTTTATAAATCATTATTAAATGTTTATTATGCAATGCAATGATTAAGGATGAGAAAGACGTACATATTACATCTAAAAKGTGTTATATTAAACATTTCAGACTGGTTTACTACATTGTAAGCACAATAAYGAGAAGAAACACATTTAACATAATATTGTACTGTATTACTGCTTTATAAATATTCACAACTGTCAAAGGGAGACTTATTGTAAAGTGTAATACAGTACACTATTTATAAATGACAAATAAGCATTTATAAATGCAAAAAGTTAGTCTTTAATGTGAAAAATCATCATTTTTAAAACTTTGTGTTGATTATCAATATTTGAAATTATTGTTCAAACATGTAACTACTATAAACAATGTTGATGTATCAAAAAAGTAAAAAAATAAACATCATGTTAACATTCCAAATAATCCCACCTAATCCAAAATGTGAACAGTTTTACACTTTGCAATAAGGATCCCTTTAATATTTGTGAATATTTATAATACAGTAATATAGTACAATTATATATGTTAAAATATGTGTTTCCTAATCATTATTGTGCTTACAAGATAAACTAGTCTGAAATGTTTAATACCAAACAGATTTGGCCCAGTATTTAGAAAGAAACCGGATAGTTTAATATTTTTTTGTCCTTAATTAATGTATAATAAACACTTATTAATAATTTATAAAGCGTTTACAGATGAGTTAATAACCTATCTATAAACTCTTTATAAGCCATCTATAAGAGGAGCCTTGTTGTAAAGTGGTACCTTTTTTTAAATTTGGCATTTTTTACCATCTGTTGTTACTGTAGTTCAGTACGTTAAATGTTCTCCATTCTCCCAGCAAGCATCCCTTTGCCCCTGTCGAGGAATGACTCCGTAGAGGTGGCCAATCAGAAGAGGCTCCTGCGGACCCTGGAGCAACTGACCAATCGCCTGAAACGAACTCTAGCCAAGCAGCCATTGTCCAGTTTTCACGTCTCTTCAGAAATGATCGTTTCAGATCCCAGGTCGCTGGAGAGCAGGAAGGCCTCTCTGTTCTGCAGACCGGGCTCGGTGCTCAAAGGCAGAATGTGTGGTAAGGTTGAAAAAAAGAGTTCATCCACCTATAAATTACAACATACAAAATACATAAATATTCATGTTTTTAAGGAAATCACTGATTGATTGTTCTTCTACAGTACAATGTCCTGTAGGAACATATTTTTCTCTAGAACATAAWGAGTGTGAGAGCTGCTGGTTGGGGTCCTACCAGGACCAGGAGGGTCAGCTGGAGTGTAAGTCTTGTCCTGAAGGGACCTCCACAGCCTACCTGCATTCCCGCCGCATGACTGAGTGCAAAGGTGGGTTTCATGCACAAGCTTCTGTCTTTGTATTCATCACTTGKTAAACAAGTGAAATGCAGCACAGCTGAAATGATGCATTTTCTTGTTTCTGTTTTTCTGGTGGCGTTGTGATCAGGTCAGTGTAAACCTGGCAGTCACTCTCTGAACGGGTTGGAGATCTGTGAGTCGTGCCCGCTCGGTCACTACCAGCCTGGCTACGGTGCCAGAAAGTGCCTGGTGTGTTCTGGTGGGACTTCCACGGTCACCAGAGGAGCAGTGGATGACACAGAGTGTGGAGGTGATGCAGTTCATCCTTATTGTTTCATCATTTAAAGGGGGTATTATGTATTGTCCAAGCACATGCTTCAATTCTAGACCAAAATCAAGTAACAATGTTACCTTCAGCTGTTAGTAAAATCACTTACTCGAATGATCCCACATCGGACCCAGAAAGTACGTTTCTGAAGAACCGGAGTGAGTACAGAGGCTCTTACAAGGTGTTTCAGCTTGGTAATATATCTTGCAGTCATCCTCTCAGATACATTTCGCAAAGAAACTATAAATACAGATCATTATGAAGCTGTGTTTTGCAATGAAATCGTGGTGATTTATAAATAAATATTTCTCCTGTCGCTGGCCTGGTGGAGCTGTGTGGGGGAGGCACATGGGAGGGGTGCTCTGGCTGCAGTCTGAGCTCCTGGGAGGAGCTTTGTGTAAATAGGAGGTGCTTTGTACCAACATTTAGACAGCTCCAGGGTTCAAGGATTCCTCAAACATGCATGAATGAGTCAAAGCAACACTCTGGGTATGTTTTTGATGAGGAATGACATAACATGCAATTTTGAATAAAACTCTCCCTTTAACTTTTTTCCTTTTGACTTAATTATATTTGTGTTTTACAGAATGGCAGCTGGAAAGAAAATCAATTTACAAATTCTAAACAAAAATCTTTGTTTTAATCTTTTGATCTTTGTTTTTAGACATTTGTAACAAATTTAGAAATCAAATATAATTGCCATTTAGAGATGGATAGATGTGGCAATGTGGAAAACTTTAAATACTTTAAATTAAAATACACAAATAGCTTTTAAAATATTGACTTTGAGTTAGTTTTTCTTTTCCACCTATGAATGCTATTTTTGCAACCATCTGAAATGACTGTAACACTTTTCTTATTTTCCCTTCCACTGGTCTCTCTTTTTACAGTTCCCTGCAAGGCGGGYCATTTCTCTCGCACCGGTCTGGTTCCCTGTTACCCATGTCCAAGAGATTATTACCAGCCTGACCACGGACGCTCCTACTGCCTCTCTTGTCCTTTTTATGGAACCACTACGATCACAGGGGCGTCCAGCATACAGCGCTGCTCCAGTGAGTCTGCCGGGCTAGATATCTTGATGTTTGAGTGTTAGCAAAGTGAAAAGTGGACACAGAAAGGAAAGTATAGCATACATCAAATGGTCACAGACCCTACTGGCAAGGACTTCAGTCATCTTGACTACTCAGCACCCCAAAAATAAAGACCYTTGATGAGTTTTCCTCAACTAGTTTTCTCTGATATTGTGTCTTTTCTGGGTATTATTGTAAGGTTTTGGGTCGAGCTTTCTTGCCAAGGAGGAAAGTGTAACAACTGCACCAGAATTGGAGGTCAGTGAGGACTACCAAGCCAGCAGTCAGGTTAGTTTTCATATTTTATTTTTCTTTGTTTTTTTCCATTTTCTCTTTATTAAATTTTTTTCATTATGGTACAAAAAACAAATAGAACAAACAACAGAAGATATCATATACGTACATCAAACTAACCAATCATACAGTATATACAGTATATGTTTGTTGAAGAAATTTAGGAAGTTCTGCCAAGTTGAGTAAATAAATGAAATCTGTGCAGAACCTTGAATTGCTAGAGACCATGCAAAATGAACATATCCTTACTTTAGCAGTCTCTCACAATGTTGTGGAGGTATTTTGGACCACTCTTGTTTCAGCTCTTTGATGTTTGTGTGCATCAGTTCCTGCATGCCTCTATTATGATTCCTACAATACTTTGTTTATGGTTCACTCAGGGGATGCAAAAGAAGCCCAAGTCATTWTCATGAAAGTGAATAAGAAGTCTGATTTATTATTTCCACAGATTTTCCATGAGTGCTTCCTGAATCCCTGTCAGAATAAGGGAACATGTGAGGAGGTTGGAGCTGGTTATGTTTGCACCTGTATGCCTGGTTTCACAGGTAAAACACCTGACATTTACTGGACATTCACTGGTTTTTAAATTGCACAACCCTGACTATTATTGTTTTTCTGGTCACTTTTATCACTGGATCTAATTGCACCACTCCAGCTATATTGTCTGCTCTGATTACTGTATTTAACTGGTGTACATATGTTTTATATTTTATATTTTATTACGTTTTTTCCTTTATCCTTTGTTTTTTTATTTGTTATATTTTATACCTATTTACAGCGAAGCAAATTCCTAGTCTGTGAATCCTGTTAATTGACAATGGCATTAAAACTGRTTCTGATTGAACTGCTGTAGTTGTGTTACTTCAGTGTTGTTATTCTGCTGTTATGTGGTTGGTATTCACCTAACTACATTATTAATGGCTTGCTGCTGTTCTGAARGCCGTTAGAGTCAGCCTGTGAGTTTTGTCCCTCAGGTGCGAAGTGTGAGATCGACATAAACGAGTGTGACTCTGCTCCATGCCAGAACGGAGGCCTGTGTAAGGACGGGATGGGAGACTTCCAGTGTCAGTGCAAACCTGGATTTTTAGGTAGAGAAAGTTAAGCTGTTTTTCTTTGTTTTTTGTTTTTTTGTTGTTGTTTTTTTTACAAAAAAATGTGAGTTTCACAGATTGTTAAAACTCTGAAAGGAATTGTGTCTGTCTGTTTCAGGCTCTCTGTGTGAGGCCGAGGTAAACGAGTGTATCTCCTCCCCGTGTCTGAACGAAGGAGTGTGTGTGGATGAAGTCAACAAGTTTACCTGCAGCTGTACCGATGGCTTCACAGGTTAGTCAGTATCACATATATTGAAGATAAATAGACTTGGTTTTTGTTTTGTGTTGTTTTAGTTGTAAAGGCATCTAATGACGGTTCTAAATGTGTCTATTTAGATCATTTCTTTTCTTCTGTACGTTTTTGGCACAGAACTTGTTCCGCAATTTCTATATCAAAATGTTCAGCTCCTAGAGAACATTTTTGGTATTTCAACAATTTATAGTTCTTGAGATATTTAGCTTTTTCTGCCATGTTTTTCTTTTTGAAAATTRAAGGAGTTGTTTTAAACATCCTTAAAGCCTTTCAAAATTATCATAAATCTTTACCTGTTGTTCTGGATCAGATTTTTAAATTCCTTTGTACTAATTTGAGCTTCCTTCAGCTTCTGTTTTGATGATTTTAGCTTTTTCTGCCTTTTTTAGCTATCACTATGATTTAGCTAATTTTAACTTATTTGTGCTACTTTCAGAGGATTTTTGTTTTTAGCTACTTTTTAGCTAATTTGAGCTTTTTTCAGCTAAGTTCACCTTTTTGTTATAATTTGAGCTGGCTATTTAAGCCAGCTGAAATTAAAAGAGCATGTGTTTGCCTATTTAAGGCAAACACATGCTCTTTTAGTTTCTTTGTTGCTACCTTTTTTTGGATTTATTTTTGGCTAGTTTCAGCGTTTTTTAGCTATTCAACAAAAATMGTTCAGCATTCACACTGCATGTTCCCAGAAAATGTTAATTCTCTAGTTAGTTAGATGTTTTTAGACCTAATCTCAGACTGACCAGAAGACAATTAGTGCAACACTTAGACTGATATAGTGCTGTAGGTTCTGGGGAAAAGTTATGAACATTTATCTTACTTGTTGTAAATAGCTCTTTAAATGACCTCAGTTTTGAAAAAAATAGTTTGATTTTAAGTGGACTGACCAGCTCAGTCCAAGCAGAGCCACGACCAAAATGGGGAATAAATCTACAGTACTCTAATCTCAAAAATGTCATGTGCTTTGCTGCTCATAGAACCTCTGAACCACCTGTAAGGTAATCAGCCATGATAATGTTCTCTAACGTGTTTGTTTCCTTTCCTCAGGGTCTCGTTGTGAACTGGAAATCAACGAGTGCCTGTCCAGCCCGTGTCTGAATGGAGGTGTGTGTGAGGACCTGACAGCAGGTTACAGCTGTAACTGTGCAGTTGGATTCTCTGGGGATCGCTGTGAGATCAACGTTGAYGATTGTTACAGCGCTCCTTGTTTACACGGAGGTTCATGCATAGATGCTGTAAACRGTTACAGGTAACGATTGTTGTACTGACTGAAGCTGCTTTCTGCATATCTTTATTACACACAGATGTTTTGTTGTTACCTGTTGGAGATGCAGTGTCTTCACAGGCAGTGGTGTCTCTCTTTGTGTCTCAGGTGTCAGTGCGTGGAGGGCTACCGAGGCCGACTGTGCGAGGTGGACATAGACGAGTGCAATCCTAACCCCTGTGCGAATGGCGCCAGCTGCTTCGACGGTCTGGGATCTTTTACCTGCCGCTGCCTCCCTGGGTTCAACGGAACCAGGTGTGAGACAGGTACTACTGTATAGAACTGATAACACATCATCATGGCCACTAACGAGGAGGAAACCTGAGGAAGACATGAGAAAGTGTCGTTTGCCGATGCATGCGTTTTAAATTAACCGCCTCACCAAGATTTTTAATCTTATAGTTACACAAACTCAACTTACAGAAATGTATTTTTTTTTGTATATAAATTTAAATTTCCTGTGTCCTCTCAGAAATGTCGTCTGCCTTCAACCTGGACTTTGAGGTGTCTGGTATCCACRGTTATGTGATGATGGACGGAGTGATGCCGGCGCTGACAGAGATCACCTGCACCTTCTGGATGAGGTCGTCAGACACCACTAACTATGGCACACCTGTTTCCTACGCTGTGGAAGGAAGTGACAACGCCTTCCTTCTCATAGACTATAACGGGTCAGTGATGCAGCAACACAGTTATATGAAGTTATTTCTTGTTTTCTAACATCTGCTCTGTCTGCAGCTGGGTGCTGTACGTGAACGGTAAGGAGCGGATCACTGACTGTCCCGCTGTGAACACGGGTCAGTGGTTCCACATCGGTGTGTCCTGGAGGAGCTGGGACGGAGACTGGAGGATCTACATCAATGGGAAGCCCTCAGACGGAGGCAAAGGCCTGTCAGTCGGCACCACTATCCCAGGTGTAGTGCTATCCTCAGCCTGGTTACACATCGTTTTAACCAGTTTCTTTCTTTAGGGTTCACTTCCTTATTTTTGAGTTGTTAACCTCAGTCCTAACCCTTTTCTTTAGGTGGAGGGGCACTTGTTTTAGGTCAGGACCAGGATCAGAGGGGAGAAGGCTTTAACCCTGTGGAATCTTTTGTTGGGTCCATCAGTCAACTCAACATCTGGGATCGGGTTCTTACCCCCCAGCAGGTAAATGTGAAAAATACCTCCTTTATTTCAGCTTTACCTCAGTAACTCTTCTGTGGGTTTTGTAGCAGAGCTGTAGCATTTTAACATTTTAAAATATCATCTTTGATGTTTCTGTCAAATCTCAGAAATACTTTCCTGCATTTTTTTGTTCTATGGTTTTTCAGTTTCAAAATAAAATGAGAAAAAAACTAATTATATATACTGTATATATATAACAAAACTAGAGAAACAGCAATTGCAAAAATAAAGGCTGCATTTTTGTTTTTTTAAATGTTAAAGCAAAGATGAGCTTTACATTTTTAGCGCACCATTTGGGACCTTCTGGCTGAACCGGAAAATATTGCCTGAACTCCAGGATCATTACATTTTCACTTCTCACCGTGGATGTGTTGGTCCTATTTAGAGTCAATGGTCCTCATGCAAGAACCGTTCGTGCGCACAAATTTGTTCTTAAGTTGTGCGTATGAGTGATTTAGGAGAATTTGTGGCATTCACCAATGTTTTCATATTCTAAGATTTTT